ATCACTTTTGGATCTTTGTTTGGAGGACGGGCTGGATCCTGTGTACTTGTGTTTAGATCACGTTTGTTTGGGTACCTGGGGCCAGATTCACGAAGCAGTTACGCAAGCACTTAAGAACCTGTACATCTTTTCTCAATCTTTAGCGGCTTTGTTTACAATTCAGCTCGTCCTCCAAACAAAAGACCCAAAAGTGATTCCATGCACCCGCCAAACCCCGTTTGTGAATGAAAAACGGTTTACACACGACTCGCAACTGATTTCGTCCGAACACTTCCGGAACAAGTGCTTCACTGACGAATTTTGTTCGAACCACAACGCTGTGAATGCTTCACTCACGTACTACAAATACAACTAATCGCCAACAGAACATGAACACCTAACCTAACCTATGCCTATATATGCATAATATGCTAAAAATTATAATGTTAATTTCTATTTGAGAAAATTCCCGTTTTGAATGAACAGCATGTAAAACTTTATGAATACGTCTGTGGGATCGACCGCTGGATGTAATGGACTCGAGTCGAGGATGGATTGTGACAATTATTAAACAGTTAATGAGCTCCGAAGCACCAGGAGGCTGTTTATAACAATAACAACAGTTGATTGGCAAGTTTTTATGCTTGTAAACTGTTTAATAAATATAACCAAAGCCGTCAAAGATTGAGGAAAGATGTACACGTTCGTAAGTACTTGCGTAACTGCTTCGTGAATCTGGTCCCCAGGTGACGGGTAGTCGTAGCCACGACAGTGACAGCCTGTGTGTGTATGTAATTACCTAAGTGTAGTTACAGGATGAGAGCTACGCCCGTGGTGTCCCGTCTTCCCAGCACTCTTTGTCATATAACACTTTAAAACTACTGGTTGTGTGTGTGTGTGTGTACTTACCTAATTTACCTAATTGTGCTTGCGAGGGTTGAGCTCTGCCTCTTTGGTCCCGCCTCTAAACCGTCAATCAACAGGTGTGTGTGTGTGTGTGTGTGTGTACTTACCTAATTTACCTAATTGTGCTTGCGAGGGTTGAGCTCTGCCTCTTTGGTCCCGCCTCTAAACCGTCAATCAACAGGTGTGTGTGTGTGTGTGTGTGTGGCACTCATTGGCACTGTTCTCCCACTGTGTGGGGGTGGGGGGGGGAGGCAGAGATCACCAACAACATTGGGTAATGTTATTTACTCGTTCATCCTGGCTTTGCTCTCCCGATTGGTGGGATATGGAATATTTGCCTTTATTAATGTTATATTTACTTGTTTCACATTTTTTTTTAAATATTTTATGTATTTTTGTTTATTCGGCATAAATAACCTAGAGCCGTCATGGTGCCAGAACTGGTATTTCTCAGTCAGTTTTAGAGGCAGGGAGAGAGGGAGCGTGGGTGTGTTGTCATTGAGGGAGGGAGGGAGAGGGTGTTCTGCTTGAGGGAGGGAGAGAGAGGGTGTGTTCTGCTTGAGGGAGGGAGAGAGAGGGTGTATGTTCTGCTTGAGGGAGGGATGGAGAGGGTGTGTGTTCTGCTTGAGGGAGGGATGGAGAGGGTGTGTGTTCTGCTTGAGGGAGGGATGGAGAGGGTGTGTGTTCTGCTTGAGGGAGGGATGGAGAGGGTGTGTGTTCTGCTTGAGGGAGGGATGGAGAGGGTGTGTGTTCTGCTTGAGGGAGGGATGGAGAGGGTGTGTGTTCTGCTTGAGGGAGGGATGGAGAGGGTGTGTGTTCTGCTTGAGGGAGGGAAGCAGGGTGTATTATCATTGAGGGAGTAGATCGACGGCGCTGTAGGTAGAGGTGTCCCAGCCGTGAAGCAGTTGGGAGTAAGTCTAGGCAACAAGAAAGACTTAAATAGGTAGACGCGGCAACTGAACCCTATTGAAAGACGCATCTGAATCACCGGGACCAAATTGTTTTCCTGCATACGTTACCGACCGTTCTCCCTCCTACAACGGCACCTCAGGGCCATTTTTCAGTGCCTCGAGCATACCTATATCAGGGCGACACAAGGGCCAGAGTTGAACGTTCGCCGGGAGGGTGGGTTGTGCTCTTCACGACCCACAGCTAATCAATCTAATCGAGAAAGTGGAGAAATTTGAAATTTATCGTCTTTGAATATTTCACGAACGAGCGAAGAATGGAGGAAAGGGGGATAGGTACAATTTTTTTTCTGGGGAAGGGGGTATATTTATTTGTAAATATGTAAATTGAAATGTATTGATATTACGCCAAGATTTTTAAGGACTTGATTATTTTTGTTTAAAAGTGCAGCTCATTCAAGCTGGATGGCTGTCGTGAGTCTGATTGGAAAGGTCGCAATATTGGTCGCCAGTGATGATTGTTGCGTTGTAGAGTGTTCCTGATTGTCTCCTGTACCCGGGGATTGTGTGTTACTACCAGGGGGAGTAGTTACTACCAGGGGTTGTAAGCCCCTAGTAACTAGAGGCGCTGTCCGCTACTTACTTAGGTAAACTAAAGACTTAAGTAGTTTCTTTCAGGTAATTAACTTAACCTGTAGACTCTTCACTTGTCCTGGCGCTAGTCAGTCCTCGCTCTCCAAAAGGATACTTGATCAACCAGGCTGTGGTTCATAGTCAGGCTGCGAGCAGCTGTATCCAACAGTCTGGTTCACCAGACCACCAACCACTGAGGCCTGGTCAGAGACCGGGCCGCGGGGACGTTGATTCTCGGAACCATGACAAGGTTACCGTGGCTCTCTGATCCCCCTTAGACATGGTTGCCCAATATATTTTAGACTCTAGTAGTGGGTATGTGGGCCTGCGGGCCGCTCCAAGCAACAGCCTGGTGGACCAAACTCTCACAAGTCAAGCCTGGCCTCTGGCCGGGCTTGGGAAGTAGAAGAACTCCCAGAACCCCATCAACCAGGTATCCCTCCCTGATCCCTTACCTTCTGGCATGAGAGACTCTCAGATACCCTAACTCCCCTTCCCCAAACAAGAGTGCCAGGTGCCAAACATGACACTCTGGATATGACTGCCCGATGCCCACCAAGAATCATGACTCCAGTGCTGGGGCCAGATTCTCGCAAGCACTTACGAGCCTGTACATCTTTTCTCAATCTTTGGCGGCTTTGTTTACAATTATTAAACAGTTAATGAGCTCGGAAGCACCAGGAGGCTGTTTATAACAATAACAACAGTTGATTGGCAAGTTTTCATGCTTGTAAACTGTTTGACGGCTTTGGTTACGTTTATTAAACAGTTTACAAGCATGAAAACTTGCCAATCAACTGTTGTTATTGTTATAAACAGCCTCCTGGTGCTTCGGAACTCATTAACTGTTTAATAATTGTAAACAAAGCAGTCAAAGATTGAAAAAAGATGTACAGATTCGTAAGTGCTTGCGAGAATCTGGCCCCAGGTTCTGACACCAGGATCTGCAAGCATGACTCCCCGGTGCAAGGAGGCTGGTGCAAGGCAATAGGCCTAGCGCCCCGGTAAGCCCACATATACCTTGAGAGGAAAGAAGCACGTAGGCCTGATTAATTTGGTGGGGTGCAGGCGTGCGTGCTCGCCCCTCGGCGCGCTCGTTCATCAACCCTCCCCCCCTCCCTGCATTTTAACACATCATTTGGCCAGGACGCCTCCAATCTCTCTAACAGGGGCTGTAGGGGACGCCGCAGCTGAGGAATATATCACTGTTGTATTTGGGGAAAATTGAGGTAAAAGGGAGAAGGGAAGGGGGACTATCGGGGGAAAGCACCAAGCCATCACGGCTATATAGCACTGGGAAGGGATCAGGATTTGGGATGGGACGGGCGGTAAGGAATGGTGGCCAATCACATGGACGGTCGGGGATTGAACGCAGACTTGCGTGAAGCGAGACCGTCGCTTCTACCGTCCAGTCAAAGTAGTTGGGCAGGTAAAAGGGGGTGGAGAGTAGGGGGATGTAAGTGTAGGGGAGAAAGTGAAGAGGGGGAGGGAAATTAAGTGACTGATAGTAGGGGAAAGTGGAAACTTTTCTTAGTAAGATCTTTTAAAAAGTTTGTTTCCCCTGATCCAAGTAACTACTTGATGGTATTAAAGTGCCTACGAATTCCCTTTACAGAAAACCAAATTCTTTAAATGTGGTCAGCATACACTTTATATATTTTAAACTAACGATTTATATTGCAATAAAGTTATAACTTGAGAATGATCTGTTCACGACAAAGGTTCACTTGCCAGTTTATATGTAAGACTATTACTGTAACGGTAATATGCTTTCAGACCATCGCAAATATCTTGATGACTGTTTAGGTGCTTTGAGTGTGGTTGTAGTTTATCATGGTAATGGATTAGGTCTGAGGACGCGCTCCTTCCTACCTAACAGCACTTTTGTTCTATTTGCATTGTCTCAAGATGAATGTGTTTACTGGAGATGATAGGCCTCACCTGGGCATAGTAAGCCTAACCCCCCTACACACACACACACACACACACACTCACACTCACACTCACACTCACACTCACACTCACACTCACACTCACACTCACACTCACACTCTCTCTCTCTCTCTCTCTCTCTCTCTCTCTCTCTCTCTCTCTCTCTCTCTCTCTCATTCTCTCTCCCCCATTCTTTCTCCCCCATTCTTTCTCCCTCTCCCATAAACATGGCGGCCTCCTGCCTGCCGGAATCCATGATAAATTTGTGCCGGAGGCCCAGCGCGTGTATGCATCCCACTAAATCGGTTTCGAGGGGCCAGGCTTATTTCTTTCCCGGTGAAGTGGTCTTCGGGGAGGAGGGGGAGTGTGAAATGGGGCGAGTAGGCAGTGTGAAGAATGGATGAGAGGCCCGTGGGAGTGTGGTGTAGGGCTGCTACCACCTTCAGACAGACTCCGCCACAGACTCCGCCACAGACTGCGCCACAGACTGCGCCAGACTGCGCCACAGACTGCGCCAACAATAACACCCTTAGAGTTTATATTCACTGTACAAAGGATATATTAAAAGGCATTTTCATCGGGTAATGTGGATAATATAGTTGCTGTTTATATTAAAGCTAATATTTGATTTACGCTTTGCAGGTTCAGTTGACGATCCGGACGCTGCCAGAACTACCAACAGGCGCCAAATACCAGTGCGTGTGGGGGTCAGCGCCCCCAGCGGACGCCCTGGTGACGGCCTCGGGGCTCACCTGCATCACGCCCGCACGCCCACACCGCCCATCCATCCCCATCCACCACGACCACGTCCTCGTGCCGCTGGCCGTCCGCTCCAGCGAGACCAACAAGGACTTCGTCTCCCGCAACTTCGCCTTCTACGACTGCGGCCGCCACAGCACCTGCAGCAGCTGCGTCCGCAGCAACTGGGCGTGCAACTGGTGCGTGTACGAGAACACCTGCACGCACAACGCCTCCTCCTGCAGCGGTAACGTCGTGTCTGGGGAAAATGTAAGCATCCTGCAGCTGCTGAGAGAGGTGTGTGAGCCGGGTGATGTGCATGGCTCGGGCGGTTTGCCGCCATTCTTCGTGACGGACGGCGCCAATTGCCTTGTTGTTGTGACGCCAGAGACGCCTAAGAGCAACCGGTCCTTAGCGGGGATTTGTTGCTGGGTCTTGTGGCCTGGCAGCGGCAAGGTCTTTGGCGCCGGATCTAATAATGTTGAAGATGCTGCTTCGCGATTAACCTTTCTTGCACCAGCCTCGACTGACCCCCACCAACCTCGACTGACCCCCACCAGCGTCGACTGACCCCCACCAGCGTCGACTGACCCCCACCAGCGTCGACTGACCCCCACCAGCGTCGACTGACCCCCACCAGCGTCGACTGACCCCCACCAGCGTCGACTGACCCCCACCAGCCTCGACTGACCCCCACCAGCCTCGACTGACCCCCACCAGCCTCGACTGACCCCCCACCAGCCTCGACTGACCCCCCACCAGCCTCGACTGACCCCCCACCAGCCTCGACTGACCCCCCACCAGCCTCGACTGACCCCCACCAGCCTCGACTGACCCCCACCAGCCTCGACTGACCCCCACCAGCCTCGACTGACCCCCACCAGCCTCGACTGACCCCCACCAGCCTCGACTGACCCCCACCAGCCTCGACTGACCCCCACCAGCCTCGACTGACCCCCACCAGCCTCGACTGACCCCCACCAGCCTCGACTGACCCCCACCAGCCTCGACTGACCCCCACCAGCCTCGACTGACCCCCACCAGCCTCGACTGACCCCCATCAGCCTCGACTGACCCCCACCAGCCTCGACTGACCCCCACCAGCCTCCGCTGACCCCCACCAGCCTCCGCTGACCCCCACCAGCCTCCGCTGACCCCCACCAGCCTCCGCTGACCCCCACCAGCCTCCGCTGACCCCCCACTAACCCCCGCTAACCCCCGCTGACCCCCCACTAACCCCCGCTGACCCCCCACTAACCCCCGCTGACCCCCCACTAACCCCCGCTGACCCCCCACTAACCCCCGCTGACCCCCACTAACTCCCACTACCCTCACTGCTTCTACACGCTTCTCAGTAGCTGTTAACTTTTATAATATCCATTTTGATTTCATACAAAATGTAATTGCAAAGCACTTTGCTTATTATACTGTAGGCTTATTCTAGCTTAGTCTGGCTTTATTGCAAGCTTAATTAACTTGAACAAAAAATATCTTTGAAGTACTGTAAGCAAGGTTCTTTGATCAGTGCTTGCTTGCTTACGAACGTGGGGTGTGTGTGTGTGTGTGTGTGTGTGTGTGTGTGTGTGTGTGTGTGTGTGTGTGTGTGTGTGTGTGTGTGTGGTGTGTGTGTGTGTGTGGTGTGTGTGTGTGTGTGTCGCTACACACCATAAACACACGACTGATACAGCCGAGTGCTGTAACATTTTGTTGTTAATATTTGTGTCCTTATAGTGAACCACTCTGATGAGGCTGTTACTGTAACTTTGTTGTTTTTTATTTTATATGTTCAGAACCCGGCGCAGTTGTCGTCGCACGGCTCGGGGTTCTGTCCGCGGTTCTGGACGGAGCAGTCGCACCTGCTGGCTGCTGACGGGGCTCGCTCAGAGCTGCAGCTGCTGGTGGAGAACCTGCCGGTACCACGAGTGGGTCAGCTGGGCTTCCAGTGTGTGGTGAGCATCGAGGGCGCCACCATGCTTGTTGGGGCGCGGGTGATGGGCGCCGCTGAGGAGGAGGAAGGCAGCAGCAGCAGCAGCAGTCCAGCCACCACCGTCAGCAGCAGCCACCAGCAGCAGCAGCCACACCGGCGGGTGCAGCGGGTCGTCTGCGAACCCACCGTCTACCGCTACGAGTCAGCAGAAGGGGAGTACGAGGCGCGGGTGACGCTAGTATGGAACCGCGACCACCAGGTGGACGCGCGGCCTCTGACGCTGTACAAGTGTGGCGTGTTGGGCGCCCACCGCGGCCACCATGACTGTTCCCTCTGCGTCACGCGGCACCCGCGGTACCGCTGCGCCTGGTGCGGCGCCGCATGCAGGTACGCGCCGCACTGCCCCTCCGTCGCAGGCGTCGCTGCGGCCTCGTCGTCAGCCGCAGTCTCGCGACCAACCGGCCGCGACCAGTTGGACGCAAGTGACGCGCGACTCAGCCAGTGTCCGACGCCCAGGATTGACGTGGTGAGTACTCAACTCTCCTCTACTACTACTAATAATTATGAAGCAGAAATATGTTTATATGTTGCAAGGAATAGACATATCACCTAAAGATTACTTATAAATGATTTCCATATTATTGTCGAAACCTGCTTGGTTGAAGCTGCTTCTATAGCAGAATGACCACACAGCCATCACCTAACCCTGTCCATGGAGGACAGAAGAAAATGTATATATGCTGGTTAGTATTGTAAATGTGTGGCCACGTCTGTGGTAGAAAATAATAATAATAAAAAAAAACAGCCATCACAGCCGAGCTGATCCGGTAATTCTAGCGGAAATTTGATAAATTCTCATTCTTAATGGCTTCTACTGTTGTTGGTGCTTTTTCTTCCATGTATTGGCAGGGGGTTGAAGAGCCGTAGACCTCTGGTGCCAGCGCCCCTGAGCCTGAGCTCAACAATTGGTGTTCTCCATCCTAAGTTAGGACTTGGAGAACACAGTCAAATATCTGACTACTTGCTATGTTCTTGATTTTCCGTCTTGTGAGAGAGTGACGGTTATGTGGTATGTAATGAAGACGGGTGACGGGTTGACGGGTGACGTGGTGACGTGTAGACGGGTGACGGGTTGACGGGTGACGTGTAGGGTGACGTGTACCCGTAGTACCGAGCCTGTAGGTTACAATGTGTATGTGTGGTACACATCCCTTAATTGCTGTTACATTCACGACCAAAGGTCACTTTCACTCCAAAAAATGAACCAAGTAGAGACACTAGTTTATGAGAACCTTTATACTCTGGCTTTTAAAGACCTATGATATATTCTAAATTATTATTTGAAATACGTGTAAAGCTTATCCAGCTCCTTTATGATGTAGAGTGATGTTTAAGCCGATGGTAACTAACAGCCTTTTAAGCCTTTTAACAGCTATTAATTTTTATTCATGCCCCTGCCACCTCGTGGGTGTCCTAATCAGCATCCCCTTAATTACCCCAAAACAGCAAATGCCTCGATAGGCACTGAACCACAGGTTGTTCCCTGCTCGAAGGGACTCGCTTGTCTGGAGTTGGATAACGCCAACTGGCTGATTGAAGTGCAACGAGCCAGAACTGAGGGCCTCAGCCAAGGCAAAGACCTTCCCCCTACTCGTCTGTATAATCCTTCACTTATCCTCTCTCCCCCTCTTCTATGTTTTTTCCCCTCCTTCCATTCTACTCTCTCTTTACCTTGGCTTGCACTCCCCTCTTTGCCGGTTTAACGTCCTTCTGAGGGAATCCCATCGCCACATTGCTGTCCCAGATGAGTTTTAAATGACTGTTGGTAAACTATAATTGGAACGGCGTGAATGAGAATGTGGTGAAAGGCATTCTACCTAAAATGTGGCAAAATGCTGTAAATACGCTGAATAAAATTCATTCACACGGATGTGCGTGCTTGTGTGTTCCCGTGTGAATGAAAATTTATTCGGTGTGTTTACTGCGTTTTAACGGGATCAACTGTAGTTTTTGATCGTTTATTCTACTCTCTCAAACCCGATTTGAAGCCAAGTTTGAAATCACTTGAGCCGGAAAACTGTTGCTTGAAGTGGCCCCGCAAGCTCTCTCGAGCATTAAGAACCTGGCTGATATGCCACTTCCTACAGTAACTTAACAAATTTGTTAGACATTCAGGCCATTAAACATAGACATTCAGGCCATTAAACATAGACATTCAGGCCATTAAAGTAGCCTGCTCTGAGCACTCTAATTTTTTCAATAATTAGATAGTTTTTCAATATATATATATATATAATATGACCTGTGATCCACATCCTTCATCACCTAGAGGGTGCTGTTAATTTTTTCGTATAAAACTGGTGATTTGACTTCCGATCGCTGCAAACTTCAATATTAGTTACATTACTATTAACATCATTGATAGTAGAGCTCTGGTATGATTTGAGGAGTTTAAACGGTGCTAACTTTGGTTAGTCCCGATACTATTGCTTGTGTGTCTGAAGGAGGAGAGAGAAGACGATGGGCGTCGTTTAACACACTAGGTCTTGGTCGAGACCACACTTGGTCTCGACGTCGACGACCGGGCCGCGGGGACGCTAATCCCCGAAAACATCTCAAGGTTTATGACCATAACCTGGCTAAGACCCCACTGGTCATCCCTCCATACTTAGCTTCACGGCAGGTTTCTCAGTCTTGAATCTAGGCAAAAAATGATTCAGTATGAAATTGAAATAAGTTTATTGAGGTAAAATACACACAAAGGGATGAGGTAGCTCAAGTTATTCTCACCCCGTTCAGTACATCGTGTTTATACATACATATTCTTGAGGTTATCTTGATGATTTCGGGGCTTTTAGTGTCCCCGCGGCCCGGTCCTAGACCAGGCCTCCACCCCCAGGAAGCAGCCCGTGACAGCTGACTAACACCCAGGTACCTATTTACTGGTAGGTAACAGGGGCATAGGGTGAAAGAAACTCTGCCCATTGTTTCTCGCCGGCGCATGGGATCGAACCCAGGACCACAGGATCACAAGTCCAGCGTGCTGTCCGCTCGGCCGACCGGCTCCCATACATAGACACACATCACAAACAATAAACATATTACCAAACATTCTGAGAGATAAACATATACATTTCCTTATTCAGTATTGGTTATGGCCGCTCACGTTAATCACTTGACAAAAGCTTCAGTTGTGTCTTTGATGAGTGATGAGCATTCATGTGTAAATGAATGATATTCATCTTATACGGGGAATTATTTAAGAGTGTCAGCCGTCAAAGTTGCCTTCATCCAGATACATTCATAATTATTAACATCTTTAATGACAAAATTAATAAAAGTTTGTCCGAGTAATTCAATTAGGTCGTGTTGCAGTGAGGAAAATACTCCCATTCCCTGACACACTATTGCTTGTGTGGTAGTGGTAAACAGAGTGGTAGACGGTTGGAACAAGTTAGGTGAGAAGGTGGAGGAGGCCAAGACAGTCAGTAGTTTCAAAGCGTTATATGACAAAGAGTGCTGGGAAGACGGGACACCACGAGCGTAGCTCTCATCCTGTAACTACACCAAGGTAATTACACAGGACAGTGGATCATACACAAGACAGGTCTGAATTGTAGATTGAGGCGCATATTTCACGAGGCCACAATCGTCTACAATCAGATATTTATACATCCACGTACGGATTTGTAATTTCAACTTTTCCTCGTCCAGTGCCACCTGTGATAGCTGCTTGAATGGGGTTCTGGGAGTTCTTCTACTCCCCAAGCCCGGCCCGAGGCCAGGCCTGACTTGTGAGAGTTTGGTCCACTAGGCTGTTGCTTGGAGCGGGCCGCAGGCCCACATATACCTGGTTGATGGGGTTCTGGGAGTTCTTCTACTCTCCAAGCCCTGCCTGAGGCCAGGCTTGACTTGTGAGAGTTTGGACCACCAGGCTGTTGCTTGGAGCGGGCCGCAGGCCCGCATACCCACTACAGCCCGGTTGGTCCGGCACTCCTTGGAAGAAACAATCTAGTTTCGTCTTGAAGATGTCCACGGTTGTTTCGGCAATATTTCTTAGGCTCACTGGGAGAATGTTGAACAACCGTGGACCTCTGATGTTTATACAGTGTTCTCTGATTGTGCCTATGGCACCCCTGCTCGTCACTGGTTCTATTCTGCATTTTCTTCCATATCGTTCACTGATGGCTTCATGGTCTCGCGCCTGCACTAACTCTCCTCCATTCTCACGGCACAAAAGATAACTTGAGGCTCGTGAAATTGTCCAGAATACGCGGGAAATGTGGCGTCACAAAGCCCTCTTAAACACCAAGCTTAATATTCGCGTCGGCATTCTCCGAGAGGATAAAAGAATGTTGTCTAGAACGTCAGATGATGAGGAGGATGATTCGTGCCAGCCTTGGCTCTTGACGGCATGTGGATTTTGGCGTTATGTATGTATTCTAGCGATGTGTTTTGAGTTGAAGCTTCCGAGACGTTGTAAATATTGCGCGGCGAGATGGTGGGGTTGGGAGCCGGTCGGCCGAGCGGACAGCACGCTGGGCTTGTGATCCTGTGGTCCTGGGTTCGATCCCAGGCGCCGGCGAGAAACAATGGGCAGAGTTTCTTTCACCCTATGCCCCAGTTACCTAGCAGTAAAATAGGTACCTGGGTGTTAGTCAGCTGTCACGGGCTGCTTCCTGGGGGTGGAGGCCTGGTCGAGGACCGGGCCGCGGGAACACTAAAAGCCCCGAAATCATCTCAAGATAACCTCAAGATGGGCGTCTCTCTCTCCCTAGCTAGCCCCGTGGCTGCCGTCTCCCCCGCGGCAGAACGACCCCATAAGAAAATAAACAAAGTTTCAAGTTGTGAAGTCCTCCCTGGTCGTTCCGGGCTTCGCTACTCCTCAACCCATTACGTAATTGAAGTTTGATAGGCCAGAACGGAGGAAGCTGTGGACCAATGGCAGCGCGAGCCCTCCTAACACGTCGCATTTTGTTAACGCAATCAAACCAATTCATTTGAACTGTGCCGTGGTGCTGAAAATGGTAGAACTGTGAAATTGAGATTTTCTATTGTGACGGTAACGCGTTGGTGTTCGGCTGTTTAAGGCTAGGGGTATGGCCTCGTCACATAGTTATAAAAAAAAAATAGAAAAAACTGGAACTTCGTCTGTGGTAAGGCAAGGAGAAGACACACAAAACACAAGTAAACTTTAACAATGAAATTTTAATTACGTTAAATAAATCAAAACATGAAAATAATGCACAAACAAATATGTATAATAAAATCAATGAATCAAAATAATAAGAATACTTAAATGACACAATGAAAAGTTACGTTAAGGCAAAATAATAAGAAGTGCAACACAAAAGTTAAGTGGGAGGTGCTGGAATATTGGCTTAAAGCCACCACCTCTCTCAGTACACGCTAACGTCTAGCTGGGAGGAGTGCTGGCTACGAAAGCACGGAACATTCTGAGGACTGATGTTGGGGCGACCCCAGACATCAGGTAGTATTGGGGGGCGAGTGCAGGTGCAGCCAGAC